AGGCTCTCACCAAGTTGATGCACCTCCGGCGTTTCCTTTACAAAATCGGTGATGTGGATACTAAGGGGCCATATAGTGGGTTGGTGCCATTCTGCAATGACATGCTATGGAAGCTAGAAGAGGCCCTTAGTGACTCCACGTGGGTCTGGCAAATAGCCTTTTTGGCTTTGATGGACCCCACCAGTGAGTGATCGTTGCTAATCACTCAGTGATGTTGTTATTGGTGTTGTGTACTGTTTCTCACTGTGGTGTCGTTCACATATTCAAAAATACATATAAAAGGTCAGAAGCAGTGCAGATGAATTGCATGGTGTGTGTGCAGTGTACGTCTGGAAGGCTACCCTAGGGTCCTACATAAAGGTACTGGAACCCATCAGGGAGAAGTTCGTGTCGGTGGATGCCGTGATGGAGGACATGTCGGCTGAGCTGCTGGAGTTGTGTCTTAAATTCGCGAAGGACATTGGGTGGTCAGAGGCATCGGGGCAAGCAGGCCTGCTGCCCCATCCTGGACAGCGGCCCGTGCGCAAGCCGAGGGAGAAGTGCATGGGGCATAAGACATTTGACACTAGCTCTGAAGAGGATTATGATGCAACATGGCAACGGGGCCCAAGGGCAAGCGGTGCCGCGGGGCCTAGCCAACCTGCGGGCGGTGCAGCGGGCAGTAGAGCGGGCAGCAAACTGATGGATGCCACACAGCGGTTGATTGCACGATACGTTCAGGAGTTCTTAATGGAACGTTGGAGTTTGTGTGAGCCGGGTACCCCACGAGAGGAGGATGCACTAGAATATTGGGCACGGAATAGTGCTCAATGGCCCATAGTGGCGTGGGTGGCCCGGCACTCATTGTGTGTGCCGGCCGGAAGTGGTTCGTCAGAACGGGGCTTCTCGGTATCCGGCCATACTGTGCGATCTCGGCGGGCATCTCTGGGGGACGAACGCATTGAGCAGCTGATGTTTTTGTCCAGCAACACCGACTTGTAAATTGCAAGTTGTAATTTTCCGGGTTCTATTGGCTTGTCTCGAATTGGCCCATGGCTCAGTGTGTGACTTGTTTTAATTTTGGCTATATGTCCAGCTTGTACATTGGGTAATGTTGCCTTTGCTGCAAGTCAGGTGTCCCTATGGAAATGTGCCTCTTGGCTCTGAATCCGGCCCTATGAATGCCTCCGCAACTTGCACTGGTCCGCCAGTGCCCCCCCCAACTCTTAAGACCTCCAATTCGCATGGTCCGTTCCTGGGGAACGGACAGGAACGGACCTGAATGGACAAGGACGGGGCCGTTCCATGTCAGGAATGGGCCCGTTCATGAGCCGGGACGGACCCGTCCCTGGGCAGGAACGGACCCGTTCCAACTCCGTTCCGGCCCGGCCCAGATCCGGCCCAAATCTGTTCCTGAGGAATGGCCCAGGAACGGACTGGAACGGAATGGGACGGACTGGGACGGGGACGGGGACGGGTCCGTTCCTGGGACGGGGACAGATACCGTTCCCGTTCCCGTTCCCATGCCATTTGGCCGGGCCCACCTCTGTCTCTGGGGAATCACGATGTGGAATAAGGGGATTAGAAAGGGACTTTTGGGCTGGGACCTCCCGTCGCTCCTTTGCCTGCAGGGGCGCAGGCAACTTCGAAAAGGATGTCCTGTTACGGAGGGGATTATCAGGAGCATTAGGGTGCATGTAAAGGGGATGGCAAGGGGTCAGTAATTAGCAGATTGGACATTCTGGCGGGTCGTTCTCGAAACAACGAATGAGGTTCTGGATTCTGGCATGTATTATAAGAATGCTGTCTTGTAAGAAACGCCTGCTCTCGCCGCGATTGGCCAGGGCACGAGCACTTCTGGGTAGGCTCTCCCCACTCCCGTTTGCGTGTTGCGAGGGACCCACTGACGCATCGAGATTTAACACATGTCACCTGCCCGCGTTATGTGGTGTGGAATTTAACGGGACGCGTTCCGGAGCATGGTCGTTATGCTGGGAGCCTGGGCGCCATCATTCGTACTTGCCTCGAGGGCACCGCCCTCGGAGGAACTGTCTCCAGCAGCCACCGTCTCAGTGATTGGCGGTCGTGTGGACGTTGCGGGGCGGACTCGTGTCGCTTTCTCTACGGGCTGAGGCTTCAGGGGGAAGCTCTTCGGGCGGCGCGCGTGGGATTGGAGACATGGTCTCTCCCATGCATCGGAGGGGCGGCCGGAAAACGAAAGGTACTCGCCGCAATGTCGACGGCTCCGGCGGGTGCCGCGCGCTGAGAGTGCCTTGCGCGGGACTGCGGCCCGTCCTGCGGGGCAGCGAGCAGTAGATGAGTCAAAATCGCTGGCCATCTTCGCGGCGTTCGCTGCCGCGATGAATTTTCTGGGAGGAGTCCAACGCGCCAGTGGAGAGTGGGCGCGGCGGGGGGAGGGGTCGCGAGAAACGCGTATCGCTGTAGCCTATGCCTGTATTCGCAGTAGCATGCAATGGAGGCTTCTTGATGTTTTGGGCGCGAGCGTTTGGACCGCAGAGTCTGCGTGTGGCTGCGCGGCGCACGCTGTGGCATGGGAAGCAATGGGGCGACCCATCGGGGAGCGGCCGCGACTGGGGCAACACGGTGGACTGGAGGGCTCGTTTGGGGCCGCGCGCAGGCAACCGCGCGACCGAAGGCTGGTGAGTGGCTTGCGTTGCAGGCCAAAGGCTGAGTTGCGTCGGGCGCGATACGCAGCTGCCATTGCATGTTTGGTGCTTCGAAAGTGTGACCTGTGTCGTGACTTCGCAACAGGGCGCCGACGAAGAAGCGGCTTCCTTTGTCTAGACAGGATTCCATTCTTGAGGATCCTGCTGAGCTGCTGCCAGCCCAGCTCCAAAGGTCAGAAGCAATGTTGTGGTAACGCAAGTTGGCGCAGCCGGTCTACTTTCCTGAGGCAACTGCAATTGTATTCGATGCTTCAATTTCCTCATGGCATAAGGCAAAAGCTTAAGCACCGCCCGTAAACGGATGACACTGGCACAGGAAATGACTAAAACCTGCGACGGATCAGTTAAAACCTTACGTCACAGGCTCAAGTTCCTGTCTGTTTTGCAGGAGAATCGCAAACAAGAAAAGATGGCCCTACCCGCAGCCCTGCTGGCAAGCAGGTGCACTTCACGGTATGTGCCAATTGTTGTTGGACACTATTGCACATGCAACGTAAATTTCGATGTCCATCCTGCAGAATGTGATGCGAAAGCAAAACATCGCCTATCGAAGTTGTCATTGTCACATTGCAAGGGCAAGTGGCCATGGCCAGTGTATTAGCTGTGTCGACAGTCGAGATATCAACTGTGGAAAGCCCAAGCCATCAGCGCTAAAAGTGATTCCGCTTGCCGCCTGCGCTCAGCTGTTGCGCACACACCAAAAGTTATTGCATCGTGCAAGCGAGGGCTCCGCAGACCCTACAAGTTGCATGGCTGCGCTCATGCAACGAAAAACACAGCCATTGCTGCATTGATTTCTCACCTGCGCAGGTCTCAGAGGACAAAGGTCAGCATTCCCGGACGTGGGAGCCCATTCGCACACACACCCGGGAATGCTGACGTTGTTCCGCTGAGACGGTATGATGGTTCAAATGCAAATATGTTTAGGGACTTGCTTTGTCCAGGCGGGAAAAGAGCCGCTTCTGTCTTAAGACGGGGGCTTGTCTGGACATTGAACTTTGACGCAAGAATCACTTCTTCTGTGATGAATCATCTTGCAACTGCTAGCCGACGCGGTACTTTCTTTGTTTTGCAGGACCTTGAGTGGCAGTGGGCGTCCTCGAGTCTGCCGTCTGGAACGTTCCTGAAGGCGTACAGAGGTGAAATTTGTTGAGCACTTTTCTGGCATGTCTTACAGGTGTCGATGCGAGCCAGGTTGCACTATACCGGTCGGTAAGCAGCGCCATTGCTGTAATGGTACTGCAACAGCTGCAGCGTTGCATTGCTGCGGCAGCGCGCTGCAGCATTCCCGCGATACCATTTGCTCAAGTGTTAAATACTGAACATATGTCAACCGTTCTGAGGCCCCAACGCCAGGCGTCACAAGACTGTACTTCGTACGCCACTATATCATAAAATTCGAAAGCGGTCGCCGACTCTGTGTGGAACCATAGCCCCACACCAGGGGCGACACCAGGGGCGCCTCGAATGCCCCTGTTTGATGGAATGCGATATTCTCACAGGCGGCGAGGTTGCCGAGGACGCGGAGGAGCCGCCAGGAAAGGACGCCGGCAACGAGGAACCCCTTGTGGCGCCACCCCCCAGCCCGCCGCCAACACAGTCGCAACCATCAGAAGCTCCTGTCTTCGCCACTTCGCCGCCAGAAAAAGAAGCAAAGGGCGCCCCACCGCCGCCGCCGCCTCCGCCCAAGAAGGGGATGAGCCTGAGGAAGTCTCTGGGATGGAAATCCGCGAAGGACGTCGGGGCACCATCGAAGACCACGGCTCCGCAAACCACAATACAGCGTAGACAAAAGGTGAAGGATTGAGGCGTGTTGTTCTGGGATTGTGTGGCAGAAAACAGACCCCTATTTCCGTTCGTTGCCCTTGCCAAGGGCGAGGTGAACGCCATGTTGCGGGCGCTCGAGGGTTAGGAGGACCGATCACTGTACGCGACTTTCATACGGTGAACTAATTGTGACAATGAAGCGCTTAGAATGCAAACGCAACCGCAAACATGGCACCACTCGCAATGTCAATTTTTTGGCGTAAAAGCGTGAACGAAAAAACGTATCCAACGTAAATAACAAGCCTCGTTTAGTACACCCGACGAGCGAACCACGGTGAGACATATAGCGTGTATGCGTTTGCTCAGCAATTTCTGTGCTTCGAATTACGTCGGCAAGTCTCATGGACTAGTCACTTTCAAAATGGATTTGAAAGCTTTTCTTTTGTATGCAGCAATTTGTGCCTGTAAATTTTGGGGTTTTGGCAATCAGAATTTGTAGGCAGCAGCGGATCTCTCCGATAGATCCCTCTTCGAGGCAATGCTTCAATGCGTTTCGCCTCTGTGCAGGTCATCGACACGTATCACGAAGTGCAGCGTGCCTTCGCGCCAAAGATAAAGGACGCGCCGCCTCCGCAACATAACAAGAAAGAGTACGGCCAGAAAGGAGGCGTGAACGCATCGGAGATGATGGCGGAGCTGGTAAGTAAAAGCAAGTATCAAGCGGAGGTGGCGGCCGACACCGTAAAGTACAGAGAGGTCGTGACGGACCTCATAAAACGTGTAACAGCCTTCAAGGCAGAGAACATGGACGAGCTGCGGAGGTTCCTGAACGAGGCCGACGAGCACCTGGACAGGCTGACCGACGAGTCAGCCGTCCTAAAGAGCTTCCCGTGGCCGGCCACAAGGTTCGACGCCTTCCGCGAGGGCGTCGGGCTGGACGACGAGCTGGAGGCCATGAAGCGCAAGATGCGCGAGTGGCCGCCACTGGGCAAATTGCGGCAGCAGGGCTTGAAGAAGATAATAGATTACGCGGTAAGATATGTGCAGTGAGTGAATGTTGTAAGAACATCTATGGGAGGGAGCGTGTGCACATGTCATTCATACAGATAATGGGAATCTGCGTGTGGCGCAATGTCGCTTCGTGACCGGCATGGTAATGCAAACCGTTGAGATCGAACACAACACGCGCACTGCGGAATAGCGTCCAATGGGGCGACATTCTCACTGCATGAATAGCGGATACGACTCCAACGAACGACTGGATCCAAGCCACATTGCACAGATTGCAAAGCCATTTAGCAATGTCATCGGAAGTGCGCGAAACAGCTCGGGCGATCTCTGGGAAATGCTTGTTGCAATCGATTTCATTGACCCCTCCTCAGAAGCGCATCGAGGATCGGCTGAACAAGCTGGACAGCGCCCTGGCGCCACAGCTGGATCGCTTCAGGTCCAACGACGTGCCCTGGCCGGCGGACGCCCTCCAGGGCGTCAAGGACGCCTCGATGCAAATGCTCGAGGTGTATCTCCGAGGCGCCCTGGAGGAGGCGCGCACCATCTTGTCGTCGGCGCTGCCGGCTCCACGGAGGCGCCATGACTCCATCTCCGTTACCAAAGGTAGTGCCGCCCAAGTGGATGTGCAATTGCCAGTTCTTCTCATGCCTGTCCGCAGCTTGAAATTAGTAATTGCCATAAGCTTGGATCAGAATCATCGTGGCGATGCCGTCCAACCCAACTTGAAGAAGTCCAGGCCTGCGACAGTCAGCGTAATGCGAGACATAATGCCAACCATTTTTTGGTACTCAGTGATTTGGGTCTAATACACCTGTGCGCTGACTCCCCAGGGGCTCTTGAGTTCGCATTCAAATGGCATCAATTTGTGGGCGGCTTTTCCGAAGCCTGCATGCCAATTTTCGAGGAGCTCAGCACGCTTTTCAGAGCCAGCATGAATGGCGACGAGGCGACCACAAGCGCCAACGCAGATGGCGCAAGCGGCAGCGGCGAGCCCAACGGAGAAGGCGCAGCCAGCGGAAGCGGCGAGCCAAGCGATGGCCAGGCACCGGCCGGAAACCGAGACTCCAGAATCGAAAATGAAATGAAGGATAGGAAAGGAAAGTGGTGAACGGATGGCCAAGGGGCGACTCGCCAGCCCATGGCGCAGTCACACATGGAGGGTTTTCGACTCTGCGACATTTGCCAACACACGAATGCAGTGAAGCCATGTTTGGGAAATGTGTGTGGTTCAGGCATGTGGTGCAAACATCATGCAATGATTGCATGTAATGATGAACCTTGCAGCAAGTCGTGTCGAAGCAGCATTCCTGCAAGGTGCCGTGCACCAGCGTTGCCTGAGCCCAGTGCGGCTCAACGTTGTGTCAAATCGCATGGCAGCAACGTTGCATCAAGCCCTTATCAATTCTGCCTGCAATGCCGTCAATTTCTGTCAGTTGGCACCAACGATGCAGCAATGGTGGCGCTGCCACGTCGTTGATGCGCACGTCATGCGTCAACGCTGCCCGATAGGTAACGTGGTCATTGTCTCCCACCGGTACCATTACCATCAAGGCCCATCAATGTTGCTGCTAACCCCGTTTCTAGATGATGATGGCAGTTATCTCGAACATATCCCGATCCCAAGTGTCATGACTCCACCAGAAACGAGACACTCCGCTTACACACCCAGCAGGGAAATGCGCACGAGGTGCTTCCAGTGAGCAGGATCTTCATAGGGTTGAATCACAGGCTGCCCAATCGCAGCACCCTCCTGACGACCCTGACGACGTCTTTCTGATTCAGCTTGCCACAAGGCGCCGAAACGATTCCTAAGGGATCGCTGTTCAACCCCTACATTTTCAGGGGGACCAGTCCCATGAGGCAGCCACCCTTTCAGCTCAGCACTCACATTGTCCAAAAATTCCCTCTCAAGATGATGGATACTCAGCATGAAGGGGCCAGGAAATCAGAGAACAATAATGCCACATTGGTGGCAGCGAGGGGAACAACAATCTGTCAGGATTCAAAAGAACCCACAGAATTGCTCTCTCAGAACCAACAGGTCATCAGGGTGCTCCGCAACCTCCGGGATGTTACAGCTGCCGATGAGTCTCCATGACAACTTCTTCGCAACCTCTCTTGCTTACCGCTGAACAGGAGTAGCCAAATCAGCTTCAACTTCCTCCTCAGCCTCTCCTTCATAACGACTCCTTCTCAACCCTCCAGGAAGCTGCCTATTGCTGCCGTCTTCCCTTCTTCAATTGCAGAAAAATCGTTCTCTTTGCCAGCCACAACTTCGACTAGACGTCTCCGTCTGTCTCTCATCTCTTGACGTCTTCTTCATCCAACGGTTGACCAATTCGGCCTCCAAAGAGATCTGTTGCACCAATCTCGGCAAATGGGGAAGAAAACGAGAGCCACGATCAAGGACGAATGCAAATGGAAGTCCTCGGATGAGCACTATCACATCAACGGTGATGGTCATTTAATGCATTTGCAGTAGTAGTACTCTGAGCGCTCGACCACGAAGCCAGCCTATTTTATAGAATGCATATTCGGTAAGCGTAAAGCCAACGTATTAGGTTTTGCAGTACTCCCGTGTAGTAGACTGCACTCAAGACATGAAAAGGCAGTAGTACACTTCCCACTGTACGCGCAGTCGTACTGGTGGTGATAAGCAAAGCCCTCAAGCGGACCTGCCGCCATCCGTCATATAAATAGCAACGTTTTTGTAATAGGATGTTGTCGCTTACTTGTAGACCGGAGTTTGGCTAGACATATACACCAAATCGTGTTGGACCCTGGACTGACCAATCTACTACTACATAACCACCACTTTACTATGGGTTGTGACCCAACCTTGCATACACTATGCAAGTCGACATATACCAACACTTTGTATTTCAGTCAGAATGAGTAAATAAGTAAAAGGAATAGTATCTATTTGTGCATTGGAGCCGCGACCAGTATTCTTCCCCAAGCTTTCAGCCACGTCATAACTCAATAGCTGGCGTTGGCTCTGTTTGGTTCAAGGGCGATGCGCCCGCCGAGGCGCCGATGGCGCTGTGGGGCCTCCTTCACTAGATGGCCAGTAGGCTTGCCGGGGCGCTCATGTCTTTGGATGCGTAGTGTTGGCCCATGCCTACGGAATGGCTGGGCACAGGGCGGTCGTACATGCAATGGGTGTGCGCAGCGCCTTGTGGCTTGCGGGTGCGGTTGTGGGGAGGCAAGTGGGCATTTGTAAGGGGCAACGCCCTTGGGACACTCCTTCACACTAGCCGGTGCACGGCCCATCTTGTCCATTCGACTTGGGAGCTGGTGGTATGGCACAGAAGGAAAGAAACGGCAAGGTTGCTTGTCATATTGGTACAATTTGGCCTCGCATTTATAGCTGCCCGAGGGCAGCAACCAAGCAGCCAAACGTACGCTGCCAGATTGAGCTAGTATTCACTTAGCTTGTCCTACCCATGGCACATTGCCAGCCCTATATTCTATCCCGTTTGGCCCCGAGGGCTCTGTGGGCCTGCCCCTTCCATAGACCACCGTATTGACCAACACGGTACCCCCTCTCTTGGTATTCTTCTTTGTCTATGGTGCCGAAAAAACCCCCGAGCTGCCACCCCTGATATGCACGGCCAGTTCCTAGTTCCAGGCCCATGACACTCTAGTATACAATGCCCTCCCGAGTGCTTATAATGTATAGTGCAATGTGCTTTTCTTCAAGCTTGATATTCTATCACACAATGTTCTCGATTGGTTCATAATGTACAGTGTAATGTGAATCCCCCCTCATAGCACTGAGTGGAATTACAAGTTGTCGTGCGGGGTTGGTCAGATGACAGCCACATATAGCAGTATACAACTAACAAAAAGGCATTGAATGTACCCGTATCGATTGCATCTCATGTCTAAGTACAATAGGGAAAGATTTTTAAATGCTATAACTTCAATAGGCTGTATCTCGAGAGTCCTAAGAAAAGCTAACAACCTTTTCAATCCAATCTAGTTGTAATTTCATATCCGTTATTAGCTCCCAATATATAAATTGAGTAAGCAGGCTACCCCCTAGTAGTTTACACAATAAATATGCTTCCATGCAAGCATCCATTAAGTGTAAACATGCACTCCATATCAGACCCAGCCTCAGGCCCTCGCGTAACTCACATTGATTTACCAAGCATTCAAGATCTTAGTAAGCCAAGGGTCAGAACTAGTCTTGGTCTTAGTGAAAACGTATAGACCCGCCCCGCTGTGCATACCCACCTTCCTTGGCTGGTCAAAACCAACCCTCGGAAAGTTGTTGATACTCAGAGTGGTGTCGCCCATCCACACCAGTCACCCCGGGCGCTCCGGGCATGAACCATGGATAACCAGCCACAGCATGAGCTTCCATGAACTTGTGTATAATGTACACATAACAGACTTACCACAAAGCTTGTTACAAGATAGTCCGGGGTTGTTTAACAATGAGACACTATCCCTCCAATCAACCACTGATTAAATAACCTTGCATTCTACCATGCATTCCCCTCACTCACACCTAACTTCCATCTACATCCCGCACCCAGAAATCCACTGCAAACATGCAAAAAGCTCCCACGGCCCTAGTGTTCCCTGGGGCAAATTGCACCGGTGTTGGCTACCGTTCACACCGAGAACTTCTACCACTAACCTAACACTAACCACCAAATCCTGACGTGCAGGCAATCTTGGCGCTAGCTTGCAATCCAAATACAAGTGACCCTCATCGTCTTAAGGCCCCATGGAGATCTTACAATGAGCTGACCTAGCACTTGTCTGCTCCACTCGGTCAGTGCCCTCATCATCCCACAGAACCCACGCCTATCCGTAGCTCCTTTCGTCGCCCTCCATAGCCCATGCTACTCTAGTTTTACGTAGTAGGTTAAACATGCTCCCCATTAAATCTCCGCCTAAGCCTCGATTTGTCGAGGGACCAAGAAGTGTTGTGGCATGGCACCGTTTGCAGGGTTTACAGATTTGCCAAGCCAGGATAGCCTCTTGCAGTTCACAGACGGGTGCAT